CTTTTCCTTTCCTTTTTGTTTCGTTACACTTAAACCAAATATATTTTAAACAGAAGTATAATTAATGTGATACTATTTGGATTTTAACCAAAAAATTAAGATGAATTTTTAGGATCAAATTTTAAGATAATGAGACATCTATTTCTGTCTCTTATACACAGCAAGCAGTGTATAAGAGACAGCCATAATATTACATCTACATCACCTTCACATTCATAAAAAGTCACGGCTGCCAATGCACGCTCTTCTATTGGCCACCCAAAAAAAGCACGAAAGTGACCTTTGAAGATGTTGAGATTTGTATTAGATTTTGAAACCTAACCACCATACTCTAGTAAGGTACATTCTTTATATATATATATATATATATCAAAGAATTAGTTGCTTAAAAATAAATTTTAAAATTTGACTTCAAATTGACTTCTCCCTCCCCCTCTCCTTTCTCTTTTGATTCTTTTTCTTTAACAGCTATTTTTATTTCTTTGACAGTTAGGGTGGATGAATAAAGGTGAGATTGTCTCTCTCTATTTGAGAATTGTCTCTTTCAAAGAGATTTTGTCACCCTCTTTTGATAGTTTCTACCTAGTCTTTTTTTACATATCTCATCTACTTTTGCTTATGGTAAAAAATAAAGACAACGTAGATTTGAGGTTGGATGGGGTTCAGTTCCATTAAAGTACTATGTTCAGCTGTTGACAACATGGTTAAGGATTGTGTTCCTTGACTAATCTTTTACCCCCAAGATTGCAATTGCATGCTAAAAAAAGGGCGGTACAATAATTAGTGTGGTTGCTAGAGGTAATAAAAAACCTAAGGATCACCTTTTATGTGTTTATATTGCCCTGTTGATAACCAATAGTGATAGCTGATACTTCAAGTCTCTCTATAATTAATTATTCATATATATCATGAGCACCATCTATTTGTATTAGTGCTATAAGACTTTTCTAGTATTTTTACTTTTTCTGTTAGCTTATATGGCAAAAACATAGCTTGAACTCTTTCTAATAAAATTGTGCTTTCCAATCAAATAATTAAATAAATTTTGATTTCAAATTAAGATTTTTAAGTTAACAATGAGTTTGAATTTAGTTAGTCTTCTTTTGTTAGGAAAGTCCATTCTAATTGAATCTATTGTTAAAGAGTTAACTAAACTAGTCTAACAACGCATGCACTATAGTGATAAAGTACGAATGTATATAAGTAAATGTTATATTGAATTCAAAATATATATATGTATCAAATTAATAGGTCTCTTTATATGTATTCTACTCTTTCACTTTATTTCTCTTTGGTGTAGTATTTTTTGCACTTCTTTTGAATCTACCTTATAGGTGAACCTTTACTCTAATATCAAAAAAATTATTTAATAATAATTGTATTAATTAAGTACTTCAAATCTAATTCTACCTTTGGTAAGAAAGGGAAGATTAAGCGAGAAGAGGGATTGGAATCATATTTTTAGAAACCCAAAAACTGATTGCTTGAAAAAGCACTTATGGTTGAGTTTAGTTGCCTAGAGTACTTAAATTGTCATGCTAACTACAAAAAACTAGGGAGTGAATCCTAAAAGTGGTGAGGAGAGAGGCTTTAAGACAAAGAAATTCAAGAGTTACTCCATGACCGTTTAATTAAGAAGCTAGAGAGTAGAGAGGAAAATGATCAACTTCTTCCATGCATTGACAAGAGAGAGGGGGCTATCACTCTGAGAAAAGGAAGAACAAAGTGAGCCACTGTCACGTGGGGGAAGGGAAGGAGGGGGACCAGGGACAGTTCCAAGGGCAAAAGCATGTGTGTGTTGAACCAAAGAAAGAGCAGCACCACAAGGAGGCAATCAAATTTAATAAAATGGGCCTAAGCTCATATGATCCACAAAAATATTGCTCCAACTCAAGAATAGCGAGGAGTACGCAC